GTTTATTTAACCAGACCACTACTCATAGGCATTTAGATTATTTCCAGTCTTTTGCTATTGCTAACAGCCCTGCATGGAACATCCTTGTATATAAGCATTTGTACATGTGAGGGTCTCTCTTACAATCTGCTTCTAGAATTGAAATTGCTGAGTCTACCTCTCCAATTTTGGTAGACATTACAGATTTCTCTCCATCTTAGAGGTGGCCCTAATTTAGACCCCTACAAGTAAGATACGGGAACACCTGTTCTCCACAGCCTTACCTACACAGTAGAATCAGTGAAAAATGGTATCTCAGTGTAATTTTTTGAGTGAAGTTGAGTATATTTTCCTTTGTTTAAGAGCCATTTGTGTTTCCTTTCTGGGAACTGTCCGTTAATATGTTTTTGTTCATTTTTTACTGAATAATTTGTCTTTTCAATTATGCTTAAAAAATCTTTACATATCAAATATATCACCCCCTTATCTGTGATATGAACTGCAAATACTTTCTCCTACTTTATTTCACTTTTGGCATTGTTTACTGTGCTTTTTGTGAGGCAGAATTTTCATCTGTGTGTGGTTTAACTGGTCAGTCTTTGCTTTTTGTTTTTGGACCTCTGCTCTATTATTTTTTCATGATTCTGGAGTAACTAGGCAATGCAATTAGACAGTAAAAATAAATTAGATTGCATAAAGGGTGATAAGAAGATCATCATTATTTGTAGACGGTTTAATTGCTTAGCCAAGAAAATCACATGGAGAGGCAACTATTCCAAATAATCAGAGAATTTACTGTAGCGATTTGGTATAAAATTAACATATAGAAATCTACAGTCTTAGTGTACACCCGTGAGAACCTGTTAGAAGGCAAGATAGGAGTGATCCATTCACAAAAGAAGAATGATGAACAGGACTTGCCCTATCATATGCCAGCATACCTAAAAACTGTTAATTATTAAGACGTGTGGTACCAGCATGTGAATGATGAAGAGACTGACAAAATTGAATAAGAGTCTAGAAATAGATCGAAATACATAGGAAAGTTAGCATATGATAAAGGGAGCAGTCAGATTGGTGAGCAAAAGATTATTCAATAAATGATGGCGGGGCAACCAGGTCTCCATTTAGAAAAAAATAATGTGGGTCCCCACCTCACATTTTATGCCAAAACAATTTCAGTGGGATAAGATATTTCAATAGAAGAAAATGAAATCATAAAAGTACTAGAAAAACAGGTGCTAAAATTGTTGTTGTAGAACTGAAATGTGGAAGATCCTTTATGGCTTACACTGCCCTGGATGATCTCATTCACACTCATGGCTGTACTTGTCATGACCCCCAAATTCATCCCTGTACCAGAACTCTCCTCTGAGTCTGAGATGCACATATGTAACTGCCTACTGGATGTCTCCACTGGAAGATCGCAAACTCAGCTCAAGTTCAGCATGTCAAATTTAATTAATACTATTCACTCCCCGCTTCCCCAGCCCCAAATGATCTTTTCCCCTCAGTGAATGGCACTCTCTCTCTCATTCGTCTAGTTGCACAGACCAGAAACCTGGAAGTCACCATGAATTCTTCCCTCTCCCTCATAATCCAACCTCCCCATTATAATCTATTGCCATGTCTCTCAGTGTTACCTCCTAAGTATCTCTTGACTCCATTTCTCTTTATCTCCATTGCCACCAACTTTGTTCACGCTACCATCACCTTGCTCCTGAAGGTCTGTGCCCTCTTGCCAGTGATGACTGTAGAATAATGAGCATGGTACCACCTTCAAAGGCTTGCATTGCTCCTCAGATCAAGATCAAAATCCACTCTCATCTTTTCTTAACATCCCTGACTTTTTTTCAGTCCCTTACATTCACGTGCTCGTTCAGACGAGGACTGAAAAATGTCCGTTGACTGTAGTGACATGGAGATACCGAGGACCCCTCTGCAACATCTCTATGTGTCATCTCTCACGTGCCATTCCAATCCTCTTAGCCCCGCTTCTTATTCTGAGTCCTACTGTTGCAAGCAGTTCTCTGCAGGTTTCAGTCGACTTTGAGGACTTGAAACCTGGTGTGCTTTGTCTCAGGCCCACACCACGCCCCTCTTGATTCCTGTCCAGGGCTCCTCTGAAGGCACAGCACGGGAAAATCAAAGGAATACACGCAGGGCCTTTGCATACGCTGGGACATTCTTTTGACCTCTTTCTGTTTTATACATGCCAAATCAACCTTAAAATCACAGTTCAAGTTCCACTTCCTCAGGGAAACCTTTCCCAGCCTCCATGAAGAGGTCAAATCCTCCTCTTTTTAGGCTCTTCTAGTGTCACTTACTTCTTTGTGTCACCGTTGAAATCTCGTAATGTTGTGTTTCACCCACGTCTGTTTAACCCACTAGACTGTAGCGCTAACTAATAAGCTGTGCGTGTCATCAAATAGACCCCCGCAAGGCCACCCACTAGCTAGGAGAGGACAAGGAAGAGTCAGGAAGTAACTTCCAAAATGTTCACACTTGGAAATCACATAGGCTTAGATCTGCTTAGGTGCTGAGCAAACATAATATTGCCTGGGTTACTTGCCAAAGTTCCTCGCATCCCCGAGCTTCATTACCTCCTTGGCACACCTGTGTCTCCCAGTGGAGACGTAGAACTTTGAGACCTGGAGTGGCATCTGCAAAAGCTGCGTATTTTCAAGCTGTGAATCATCTTTTGACACACATTTTCTAGATGTATTAGTTTTCTTTTTTTTTTTTTTAAGTGTTTTTTAAAAGTTAATTAATTTATTTTTGGCTGTGTTGGGCCTTCGTTGCTGTGCACAGGCTTTCTCTAGTTGCAGCGAGCGGGGGCTGCTTTTTGTTGTGGTGCGCGGACTTCTCATTGCGGTGGCTTCTCTTGTTGCAGAGCACGGGTGCTCTGGTGCTCTAGAGCACAGGCTCAGTAGTTGCGGCACACAGGCTCAGTTGCTCCGCGGCATGTGGGATCTTCCCGGACCAGGGATCGAACCTGTGTCCCCTGCGTCGGCAGGCGGATTCTTAACCACTGCACCACCAGGGAAGTCCACCTAGATGTATTAGTCTTCTATTGCTTTGTAACAAATAACCCCCAAACTGAAACACTTCAAACAATACACATTTATTAGCTTAAATTTCTGTGGGTTAGAGTTTGGGTGGGCTTGCCTGGGTTCTCTGCTTTAGGTCTCATAAGGCTAAAATCAAGGTGTTGGCCAGGTGGACTCTTATCTCAAGGCTCTGGCTGAGGATCCATTTCCAAATTCATTTGGGCTGTCAGTCAGCTTTAGTTCTTTATGGTTGTAAGATCAGGGCCCCCATTTCCTTGCTAACTGTCAACAGGGAGCCACTGTCAGCTTCTACACGCTGCCTGCATTCCTTGTCAGGGGCCCACCCCCTCCATCTTTAAGTCTGCAGTGATGTGTCCAATTCTTCTCCTGCTTCCCATCTCTCTGACTCTTCCTTCTGCTACTAGCCAGAAAAAACTCTCTGCTTTTAAAGGCATATATGATTAGATTACGGCCATCTAGATAATCTCCTTTTTGTCACCTAATGTAACATAATTACAGGAGTAATACCAAGGGGCAAAAGTCATAGGAATCATCTTAAAATTCCGCCTACCACCCCAGGTAAAGCAGGGCTTTCTTTTAGTAAAAGTTAAGCATTAAGCAGCGGCACCTCGATGGTGCTGTAGTTGGAAATAACTACGAGAGACTGAAAATGCCTGGAAGTTCTGTTCCACTTTAATTTTCATCTCATAAGGAGCTGGCTTTTCCTTAGCTGTTACAAATGGCAGTAATTACTGAGCCTCAGAATACTCAACATCCATGTAGAAATCTTTTCTAATGTAGGAAGGGTATGGCAGTGACTGTTAGTTCACTAACCCTAAATTCCAGGAGAGTTTAAAAAGAAAGCACGTACTTGGTTTAACTCACAATAAGGACGTGAGTTGGGCTTTAGTGAAAAATAGTTTAGTAAAGATTGGTCTCCACACCCAGTGAAGTAAGATTTTGAGAGTTTTTTTGACTATAACCCTTGATCATACCAATCACATTAATCTGTTCATTGCTTCGTATAATTACCAAAATAATATATTCAGCCCCTGAAAGAGCCGCAGAAAGTGAGGCACTCTACTAAATGTTACAAAGGATGCATAAAAATATAAAACGTCATGTCTTCCCCACAGAAGTTTACAAAAGCAAAAGAATGGCTATTCATGCCAATGTTTGTATGATAAGGGACATATAAATAGTAGCCTCCTTAGAAAACATTTTTTGAGTGCTGTCTACATTTGAGGAACTGTTCTGGCATAAAGATTTCAAAATGAGATTGTGTAGCATGACGGTTAGTGATTAAAAATGCCATGTTGGAATCAGATGGACTCGTCTCCCCTCTACAGTGTGTTATCCTTCTGAAAGTTAGTTAAGTCTCTGAGTTTGTTTCTTCACTTACAAAATATGCATAATAATAGAACCTATCTCGTTTGTTGCTGGGAACATAAACGTGGGTGACATGTTTATGTTTGGCGTAAAACGTGACACTTTGTTTGCTATTATTATCGACAGAAAATGTCCACTTTCATGCTAGGACATAAGAGAATTTGATACATACCATCATAGAGGTATAGAAAAATTGTGGGAAATACCAATAAAATATATGCTGTGTAGGTAAGAGTCATCTCCGGATCTGGACTCTCCTTGGGACTGGCCAAAATTTCATCGAGTTATGCTAATAGGTCGAAGCGACAGATGTATAGCTTGCTGTGCTATAGATCTGGCGTGAACCATAGCCAGGGTCCAGCATCAGGCCCGTTATGGTGGTGAGGCATCCTGATGAGTGCTTCTGCAAAAGTTTTTCAGGTTTTCTTGTCATCACATCTCAGATAGCTTCATCTTTCCCTTCTTTGAGCACCATGAAGCTGAACACGGTCAAAAAGTAAAATCGTTTGGAACCTAATTTAATGCAGTGTATTTAACACTTAAGAGAACTCCCACTTCAAAACTCAGCCCAAGTATGGTTGAAGCGCTGTGAATTTCATCATGAAATGCCCGGCAATTATTGCCCCTCTCATATTGTGACTCCACTTTGATTTTCTTTAGGAAAACATGACGCTTCACTTTTTGCTTCTGACCTGCCTTTTCCTGCTAATCTCTGATTCCTGTGAGTTCTTCGCTGAAGCAAATTATTCTAGAAGCTATCCTTGCGATGAGACAAAACAAAATGGCTCCGTTATTGCAGAATGTAACAATCGTCAATTACACGAGGTACCCCAAACAGTGGACAAAAGTGTGACAGAACTAGACCTGTCTGGTAATTTCATCAGACGCATAACAAATGAATCATTTCAAGGGCTGCAAAATCTGACTAAGATCGACCTAAATCATAACGTCAAGCTGTGGCCCCAGAATGAAAATCCTGCTGTAGAAAACGGTATGACTATTACAGACGGGGCATTTCTCAACCTAAAAAACCTAAGGGAGTTACTGCTTGAAGACAACCAGTTACAAGAAATACCGGTGGGTTTGCCAAAATCTTTGAAAGAACTTAGTCTAATTCAAAACAGAATAACTGTGTTAACGAAAAAGAACACTTCTGGACTTAGGAATCTGGAAAGTCTCTATTTGGGCTGGAACTGTTACTTTGCTTGTAATGAAACCTTTGCCGTAGAAGATGGAACATTTGAAAACCTTACCAAGTTGAAGGTGCTGTCGTTATCTTTTAATCCCCTTTTCCACGTGCCACCCAAACTGCCAAGCTCCCTAACAGAGCTCTATCTAAGCAACACCAAGATCAAAAACATCAGTCAAGAAGACTTCAAGGGACTGAGAAATTTAAAAGTACTAGATTTAAGTGGGAACTGCCCGAGATGTTTTAACGCGCCATTTCCCTGCATACCTTGCAAAGGAGGTGCTTCAATTCAGATACATCCTCTTGCTTTTCAAACCCTGACCCAACTTCGCTACCTAAACCTCTCTAGCACTTCGCTCCGGAAGGTTCCTGCAACCTGGTTTGACAACATGCGTCATCTGAAGGTGCTGCATCTCGAATTCAACTATTTAATGGACGAAATAGCCTCTGGGGAATTTTTGGCAAAACTGCCCTCCTTAGAAATACTTGACTTATCTTACAACTACGAGCTGAAAAAATATCCACAGTACATTAATATTTCTCAAAAATTTTCGAAGCTTACGTCTCTCCAGATACTGCATTTAAGAGGTTATGTGTTCCAGGAACTTAGAAACGAAGATTTCCAGCCCCTGAGGAACCTCTCAAATTTAATGGCTATCAACTTGGGCGTTAATTTTATTAAGCAAATTGATTTTACCGTTTTCCAGTCGTTCTCCAACCTGAAAATCATTTACTTGTCCGAAAACAGAATATCACCCTTGGTCAGTGATACCGAGCAACAAGCTGCAAACGGCCCCTCTTTCCAAAGGCATACCCTTAAGCCACGCTCAGCAGATACTGAGTTTGACCCACATTCGAATTTTTATCATGACACCAATCCTTTGATAAAGCCACAATGTTCCAGTTACGGCAAAGCCTTAGATTTAAGCTTGAACAGTATTTTCTTCATTGGGATAAAGCAATTTGAAGGTTTTAGGAACATTTCCTGTTTAAATCTGTCTTCAAATGGCAACGGTCAAGCGTTAAATGGAACTGAATTTTCACTTTTGCGTGGTATCAAGTATTTGGACTTGACGAACAACAGACTGGACTTTGATGATGACGCTGCTTTCAGCGAGTTGCCCTCGTTGGAGGTTCTAGATCTGAGCTACAATGCCCACTACTTCCGCATAGCAGGGGTAACACACCGTCTGGGATTTATTCAAAATTTAACTCAGCTGAAAGTTTTAAACTTGAGCTACAATAGTATTTTTACTTTAACAGAACCATACCTGAAAAGCATGTCCCTGGAGGAATTAGTTTTCAGTGGAAACCGCCTTGACCTTTTGTGGAATGGTCAAGATGTCAGGTACTGGCAAATTTTTAAATATCTCAGCAATCTGACGCGGCTTCATTTAGCCTCTAATAACCTTCAGCGTATCCCCGATGAAGCCTTCCTTAACTTGCCCCAGGGTCTCACCGAACTATATATAAATGATAATAGGTTAAATTTCTTTAACTGGTCATTACTACAGCAGTTTCCTCATCTCTGCTTGCTTGACTTAAGTGGGAACCAGCTGTTCTTTGTAACTGACAGCCTATCGAAATTCACATCTTCTCTTGAGACACTGCTCCTGGGTCAAAACAGGATTTCCCACCTGCCATCCGGCTTTCTTTCCGAAGCCAGCAGTCTGACACACCTCGATTTAAGTGCCAACCAGCTCAAGATGATCAACAAATCCACGTTTGAAACTAAGACCGCCACCAAGTTAGCCATTTTGGAGCTAGGTAGAAACCCTTTTGACTGTACCTGTGACATCGGAGATCTTCGAGAATGGATGGATGGGAATCTGAACGTCACAATTCCCAGATTGACAGATGTCATTTGCGCCAGTCCTGGGGATCAACAAGGCAAGAGTATTGTGAGTCTAGAGCTCACAACTTGTGTTTCAGATACGATTGCGGCAATATTCTGTTTCTTCACCTTTTTTGTCACCATCTCAGTTATGCTGGCTGCCCTGGCTCATCATTGGTTTTACTGGGATGCTTGGTTTCTCTATCATGTGTGCTTAGCTAAGGTAAAAGGCTACAGGTCTCTTTCCACATCCCAGACTTTCTACGATGCTTACGTTTCTTATGACACCAAAGATGCCTCTGTCACGGACTGGGTGATCAACGAGCTGCGCTTCCACCTGGAAGAGAGTGAGGACAAAAATGTGCTCCTCTGTTTAGAGGAAAGGGATTGGGACCCGGGACTCGCCATCATCGACAACCTCATGCAGAGCATCAACCAAAGCAGGAAAACAATATTTGTTCTAACCAAAACGTATGCCAAAAACTGGAACTTTAAAACAGCTTTCTACTTGGCCTTGCAGAGGCTAATAGATGAGAATATGGATGTGATTGTCTTTATTCTGCTGGAGCCAGTGTTGCAACATTCTCAGTATTTGAGGCTGCGGCAGAGGATCTGCAAGAGCTCCATCCTCCAGTGGCCTGACAACCCCAAGGCGGAAGGCTTGTTTTGGCAGAGTCTGAAAAATGTCGTCTTAACTGCAAATGATTCACGGTATAACAATTTGTATGTCAATTCCATTAAGCAGTACTAACTGATGTTAAGTCCGGGTTCACCAACATACTAAGAAGGCACAGCAATGACCCTTCTGTCTTAGCTATCACTTGGTGTGTAACAAGTTACCCCCAAACTTAATGGCTTAAAATGACACAATTTGTTATGTCATAGTCTCTGTGGGTCAGGAGTCCAGGCGTGGCTTATCGCTGGGTCCTCTGCTCAGGGCCTCTCAAAGGCTGTAATCGCCATGTCAGCCAGGGCCACAGGCATCTGCTAGGGTTAGCATCCACTTCTGAGCTCACACTCATGTGGTGCTTTTCAGGGTTGAGTTCTTCCTGGGCTGTTGGCCCAAGGCTGCCCTCAGTTCCCGGCCATGTGGACCCCTTGCTATGGCAGCTTGCTTCATCAAAGCCAACAAGAGAGAGAGATTGCTGACACTGTGGAAGTCGCCATCTTTGTAGTCTAATCAGGGAAGTGATAACCCATCACTTTGGCCATATTCTGCTTGTTAGAATTAAATCACTGGCCCTGACAGCTCCATGGGAGTGATCGCCTCAGTCCTGGAAAAGTAGTCCATGACCGAGATGGGCGGTTGTGATAGCCTCCCTCAGCCTGCCATCTTGGTCATAAATGGCGAATACCAGGAGAGGGGACCATTGTGGCCATCTTAGCAGTTGGCCTACTATACCTTCATTTCAATATCTCAGAACTTTTGCAACTGTGATACTTCCGATGTTAAGTTGCTATTTCGATTTATCATATATCCATGGCTATGTGGTTATATTATGCTGTGTTTGCATTAGTCCTTCTTTCACAATTACTTTTATAAATACTGGCTATAGTATTTCACTTCTAAGGTTTAGATGCCATTTAAAGGCTAAGATGGGTGGTATTTAAAGTGTTTTGCTTTTGTTTGTTTGTTCTTTTTACTTCTTAACCATTTTTTAAAAGTGTGTAGCTAAATTAGAAGCATTTGGAGTATCTGTCAATTGCCATTGCTGTAAATCATGAAATTAATGATTAAAATGCTTCATTTCACATCATGAGCATATAATAAATACACAGTAGGGAAACAGATCTATAATATAAAATAAGTTACCTAAATGTCCATTGACAGATGAATGGATAAAGAAGATGTAGTACATATATACAGTGGAATATTACTCAGCCATAAAAAAGCACGAAATAACACCATTTGCAGCAACATGGACGCACCTGGAGATTATCATACGAAGTGAAGTAAGTCAGAAAGAGAAAGAGAAATACCATATGGTATCACTTATATGTGGAATCTAAAATATGACACAAAGGAACCTATCTACGAAGCAGAAACAGTCTCATGGACAGAGAACAGACTTGGTTGCCAAGGGGGAAGGGGATGGACCGGGAGTTTGGGGTTAGTAGATGCAAACTGTTACATATAGAATAGATGGACAACAAGGTCCTACTGTACAGCACAGAGAACTGTATTCAGTGTCCTGGGATAGACCATAATGGAAAAGAATATTAAAGAAGAATGTATATATAACTGTCACTTTGCTGTACAGCAGAAATTAACACAACATTGCAAATCAACTATAATTTAAAAAATAAATAAAGGCCCGGGGGATTAAACAATAAAATAAAATACCATCAACACTGGGTTTTTGGAGAATACTTAGGAAGAAAAAGCTTTGGTAGAAATCAAAGGGGGAACAGTTTTCATAAAGTTTGTACATTAAGATAATTATTAACAGAGAAATTCTATCTTTAGTTCCTACTCAGAAGACGTAATGTCAGAATGCCTGCCTGTCGGTACCCTTTATGCAATTCTGCCACATGTAATAATGTTGGCATTCTCTACCATCTCTGCTACCCCTTGGTTCCTCTGCATCTGTCCATAGCATCTTCTATCCAGTGTAGTATGAATCTTGAAGAGGTACCTTATGAACTTGAACTGAAAATAACTGGAAATTATTCGAGCGTAAGAAAGTAAAGTCCCTTTAGAATGAAAAGAAGAAAAATCTCCAGTGCTCCATACTTCCTTAAGTACAGTCTCTTAATTAATCTTGCAGCATGAGTTATCTTTAAATATGAGTTTCTAAGGAACTGAGCGAAATGATGTGTCTTAGTGTAACATGGACAAAGTGGAAATCAGTCAAGGACGATTTTAGCTTTGTCACGTTGAACCCTGTTCTGTGACCGTGATGTTAATAGAAAGGTATTTATGCTTGCATTTGTTGAGGCGTGAAGACAAATATCTAAAAGCAGGACCATTCATGGTGGGGTGCAGTTACAGCTCGTTCCTGTGGATGCCACATTAACTTGTTGTCTGGTGGAAGCTCATTCCTGTGTTCTCTGATTGTTTTGGTAAAATAAAAATGTACATGTTTTCAGTGGCAGTGATTACAGGTCTATGTTAAGCTCACATACTTTGGCAGTGTCCTGTTGACAGAATGACAAGTTAATGAAAGTCACAAACAATTTTACCTTTTCCTTAGCAAACATCTTCATAAAGTGAAGGTAGTGAAATCAATGGTTAATAAAAACATTTGTTCTTGAAACTCACTCATTCCTCATTTAAGATACCATTATGGAAAAATCAGAACTGTAATTTTGTTGGTTGGTTGGTTGGTTTTGTTATGTTTTGCGGGAGAAGGAAGGATTATTACTTGCAGCAAGTAAGGAGAACACCGGGGATCTTTGCCGAAGCGGTGTCTCCCAGACCTCTAATTTGTTAAAGAGAAAGCATTGTTTTGTTTTCTGTTATTTTTAAATGAATATATGATAATACCCATATACAAGCTTTTAAAAATTCAAATTTTACAAAGGGATGTATGATTAAATTTCAGTCTCCCTCCCAACACAACTTCGCTTCCGAGAGACAATCACTGTTAAAAGTTCTTATGTAGGGCTTCCCTGGTGGCGCAGTGATTGAGAGTCCGCCTGCCGATGCCGGACACACGGGTTCGTGCCCCGGTCCGGGAAGATCCCACATGCTGTGGAGCGGCTGGGCCCGTGAGCCATGGCCGCTGAGCCTGCGCGTCCGGAGCCTGTGCTCCGCAACGGGAGAGGCCACACAGTGAGAGGCCCGCGTACCGGGAAAAAACAACAAACAAACAAACCCAGGAGAACATAAATTAGTGTGCAAGCTAAGAAAGTAAATGATGCCTGAACAATTGTAAAGCAATTATACTCCAATAAAGGTGTTTGAAAAAAAAAAATGATGCCTGAACAACCCCCTCCTTCGCTGTGCTTGACTTTTTAAAATTATTTTTTTTAATTTAATTGTTGGCTGCACTGGGTCTTCATTGCTGCGCACGGGCTTTCTCTAGTTGCAGCGAGCAGGGGCTACTCTTTGTGGCGGTGCACGGGCTTCTCACTGCAGTGGCTTCTCTTGTTGCGGAGCATGGGCTCTAGGCATGCAGGCTCAGTAGTTGCGGCTCGCGGGCTCTAGAGCACAGGCTCAGTAGTTGTGGCGCGCGGGCTTAGTTGCTCTGCGGCATGTGGGATCTTCCAGGACCAGGGCTCGAACCCATGTCCCCTGCACTGGCAGGCAGATTCTTAACCACTGCGCCACCAGGGAAGTCCAGCTGTGTGTGACTTAGAACATTTGTACTAGCCAGCAACAGAGAAGGAAGTAATGCACTTCCTGTTGATTACATGCAATTCATTAATTAAATAACTGTGAAGGTAAAGAAAAATCCATTCTAGATGTATCAATGTACCACTTCAAAAATTTTATACCTTCAATTTCAAAAAAAGTTAATAGTAATGTGAATTTTCCATAAATACATGCTATTTCTTTGTATAAAAGCCAAATGCTAAAACAAGGATCGGAATAGTTTTAATATGAAGATATAAGTGAGCCAGTTAACCAAGAAGAATTTTATAAAAACTGCTCCACACGAACAGGAAAGAAACGGGAAGAGTACCGGGAAAAAAAAAAAAAAAAAAAGTTCTTATGTATCCTTTTGTATTATAAGTGTAAAGGCTCAGTTGCTGTAACCACGAGATCCAACAATACTGAAGTTTATTTCTTTATCCCATACGCTATGGCCTGAATGTTTGTGTCCTCCCAAAATTCACATGTTGAAACCTAACCCTTAAGGTGATGGTGTTAGGAGGTTGGACCTTTGGGAGGCGATTAGGTCATGAGAGCAGATCCGTCATGAATGTGATTCGTGCCCTTATAAAAGTGGCCCAAGAACCTTCCCTTGCCCCTTCCACCATGTGACGGTACAGCAAAAAGATAGCTACCTAGGAAGCGTGCTCTCACCAGACACTGAATCTGCCAGTGCCATGATCTTGGACTTCCCAGCCTCCAGAATTTTGAGAAATGAATGTTTGTTGTTTATAAGCCACCCGATCTCTGGTATTTTGTGACAGCACCCTGGACGGACTGAGACACCCATAACAGTTCCAATGAGAATAGTTTGGGTTGGCAGGACAGCTCTGCTCTACATGGCCATTCAAGATCCCATGTTCCTTTCTCTTGCTGCTCTGCTGTCCCCGAGGGAATTGGCATCACCTCCATGGTCCAGGCAGGGTCACCAGTAAGGGTGGGTTCCAACTGTAGGCAGGCGGAAAAATAACAAGGAAGAATACTCAGACCAGTGTCTTAAGGCCTAGACTCAACAGCGGCAAACATCTGCTCCCCTTCCATTAGTGAGGACCTATTTGACACCACATAACTGCAAGGTATGCTGGGAAATATATATACTTCAAAAATAACTATGGAAGCAAGAGAAGGGATTTGGGAAACAGCTAGCAGTCTCTGCCACAACTTCTAGAAGCTTTCAGATTGCATATCTAAGCCTTTAATTGCTCTTTTACTATAAAGGAGCGACTCTATACTACCCTTCTACATTGTGCTCTTTTCACTTAAAATTTCTCAGTGTATATTTTTCTTTTTAACGGCTCCATGGTACTGACTTATACGAATGTACCAGAAGGTATTTTCCCCATCCGTTGTTGCTGAACATTTAGATTGCTTCCAATCTTTTGGTATTGCAAATAATTCTAAAATACTTATATCTTCGTGTTCACGTATACCTATCTTTATAGACTAAAATAAGTTTAGTACAGTGGTAAAGTG